CCTTGTAAAATACTTGTACTTCTTCAATAAAATTTCTTCTTGTATTTTATGATGTATGCCCACTGTTGATGCACTCGAACAATATTTGTGGTTATTAGAATTTTGGAAAACCAAGAGAGAACAATACCGTACTTTACCTGTTAATCCATACACCCACCAGTATATTATTGAGCGTCTAGCCGAGAGTGAGCAGCGAATTGCTGACTTACAGATTCTGATACAGGAGCACTTGGTGGCGTGGGCGGCCAGGAGGCCTCCCCCTCCTCTACAACAGTAAGGTACTGATTCTTAAATTTTTTTTTTTTTTCAACTACTTCCAGCTGTATTTGCATGCATATATGTATATAGACACATGCTTTTACACATCTATATATACATATGGAAACACAATATATATTTTGTTATATATGTGTGTTTAGGTTCAATTTTTTTTTTTTCTTTTTTAATACATGACTATAAACATGTGTATGTAATTTTCCAAAAACTGATTTTGACATTTTTTGTTTCGCGCCATTTTTTTATTTTTAAAACTTGAATCTATTACAAAATAAGTTCGTTAAGTAAATGGGTTAATCGGGTTAATTTATCCAATTCGCATCTAATTTAATTCAGCCCATTTAAACCCATTCAGTAAATAGGCGGATTTAGATTGAATTATTTTATTATCGAACACGTTTTAGCCCGCTCAAACTCACCCACTTGCCACTTCTAATCATAACTAACATCTTAATGAGTCATAACTAACACCATAATGTGTATAACCTCATAACTAACACTTTGTTTAGATGGAAGAGTTTGGTGAAAAAAGAAAAGAAATTGTGAGAATATAAAACTCTTTCACTTGTTTGGTTGGTTAAGTATGGTGAGAAAGAATGAGAGATGGTGAGAAAAGGACTCTCACCAAACAATTGTTTCATTTCTAACTAAAAGTGGTGACATTTAGTGAGAAAATAATTGGGTTTAATGAAATTTTTTAAAAATACCAAAATTACCTTTATGAAAATACATAGCAAATTAGTATGGAAGGTTATTTTAGTAAAATGAAATAAAACACTTTTTTTTTTTTTGTCTTTCTCTTACTTACTTTATCCGAACAAGATTGGTGATAAATCATATTCTCTTCTTTTTTATTTCTCTTACTTACTTTACAAACGCCGCAATAGGCCACAAAAACGCCGCAAAAGGATGACGTTTATAAAATTCGTCACTGATGTGACCACCGCCATATCTTTGTGACATTTTAAAAACGCCACTAACAAGTTTAGACGACGTGTTCTAAAGCACCACTAATTCTTAACATTTGTTAACAATGTCCGTTAGAAGGGTTAACTATAATGTAATCATGACGATATTTTGCGGCGTTTTTATGAAAAATGCCACCTTTTCTTTTTTTTAATAACTAACATCTTAATGAGTCATAACTAACACCATAATGTGTATAACCTCATAACTAACACTTTGTTTAGATGGAAGAGTTTGGTGAAAAAAGAAAAGAAATTGTGAGAATATAAAACTCTTTCACTTGTTTGGTTGGTTAAGTATGGTGAGAAAGAATGAGAGATGGTGAGAAAAGGACTCTCACCAAACAATTGTTTCATTTCTAACTAAAAGTGGTGACATTTAGTGAGAAAATAATTGGGTTTAATGAAATTTTTTAAAAATACCAAAATTACCTTTATGAAAATACATAGCAAATTAGTATGGAAGGTTATTTTAGTAAAATGAAATAAAACACTTTTTTTTTTTTTGTCTTTCTCTTACTTACTTTATCCGAACAAGATTGGTGATAAATCATATTCTCTTCTTTTTTATTTCTCTTACTTACTTTACAAACGCCGCAATAGGCCACAAAAACGCCGCAAAAAGATGACGTTTATAAAATTCGTCACTGATGTGACCACCGCCATATCTTTGTGACATTTTAAAAACGCCACTAAAAAGTTTAGACGACGTGTTCTAAAGCACCACTAATTCTTAACATTTGTTAACAATGTCCGTTAGAAGGGTTAACTATAATGTAATCATGACGATATTTTGCGGCGTTTTTATGAAAAATTCCACCTTTTCTTTTTTTTAAAAAATAATCGTAATTAATGATTTTCTTAACTTTTGTTCAGAGCAAACATATTATTCATCGCCATCACCATTTTCAAAATATATGCCATAATGTGAGTCAGTGTCCATTTTTCAATTTTCCATAACTAAAAAAAAAACCCCCCCCCCTTAAAACACAATATGTTAACTCAATACAAAAAAATGGAAATAAAAATAAAAATTACTAACATTTTTACATTTTAATTAAAAAAACAATATATGGACTGTGCTCTCCAAACTCTGAAAATAACTTCATCTTCAAGTCATCCAATCCTCTTCAGTAAAATGATGACATATACCTAAATCATCCTTCCATTCTTTGTCATTCTTAAGATCATAAAAGCTTTTTTCACTCTAATCAAAAGGAAAAAAGGACAATCTCAATCTGATTAGAAAGAAGTTAGAGGCAGAACAAAATAGACTGGATAGTTGGATTCTTACAGCAGCCATTGGCTATCGACCCAATAAATATTAGCCATTAAGCATGCTAAAAATGATGGTCATAAAAGTGCTATTGTGCAAAAATGATTTGTCATGCAACCCAGTAAGTAAATTTGAAAAATCTATCACTGACCCATCATACAACCTAGCAATTAATATATATACATTATCCATCATTAACCCATTTCCCTTAATGTCAAGCACCACAAAGCATCACTAAACATCTAACATAAATAAATTTATAACTGCAAAAATACACAATCTCATTGCTAATTTTGAGATCATATTTGGTGCGATGCTTCATTCAACCAGTAGTAAATCACATTCAAGAGATGAATAGTCATTTGTCATAATCCATTTGGGCAAAAAGTATCATTTAGAATATAGTTATAAAAATAAAAATTCAGTGCAGCATAAGCTGTTATGATAGATATCATGACAGAAAAGTTAATGCACTTTTTAACTGCTAGTCTTAATATGCATAAGTAATCAGACAATATAGTTCTAAAATAACGGTTCAATGGGTGATAACCTAAGAGAAGGAATTCAATAATAGTTTAAACTGGAAAATGTACACTATTCTATAACAATGCAGCACTGGATCTCATTGATTGATTGTAGATAATATTTGGTGAACAAAAATGTTACATGGAAAACTAAGTAATGAGCATAGTAGAGAACTCACTGCATGCACTCTGCTGCATCATACATGCTCATGGTTTCTGTACTTTTGTCATCAATTTTCAAGATAACATCCCCAGACAAAATGCCAGCCTTATTTGCAGGACCGCCTGGAGCAGTTGAAATTACCACCAGTCCTGCACATAATCCATCACCTTATGTAGGGTAGCCAATTGACAGCCCTACACCTGTAAGAGCACCTTCTGTCGTTAATTGCCTTCAAAGGGCATATTAACAGATTTTAGATAGAATATCAAAAGCCACAAAATTCACTAACCCAAAATAGTTAAGAAAAGACTTCCTCAAGTGAAAGAACAAGATACATTAAATTAAGGGTAAATTACACTGACACCCCCTGAGGTTTATGTTTATTATAGTTTCTTCCCTCGCCTTTTGGAAATTACATCACCCCCTTGAGGTTTAAAGTTTCACTACAAATTCCCCCCTCACCAATTTAAATTTTTGAAATACCAATTTTGCCCTCATTGGATAAATTACATTGGCACTCCTCACATTTTAAAAATTACAATCCCCTCCCTAAGGTTTAAAATAATATTACCAATTGCCCCTTCGGTTAATATTAATTGGAAAAAGAATTCATTGAAAAAAAAAATTAATTGAAAAAAAAATTAATTGAAAAAAAAATTAATTGAAAAAAAATTAATTGAAAAAAAATTTTGTTAGTAAAATTTTTAAATTTTTGTTTAAAAACCAACGTAAACTCATTTTTTGAATTTACGCAACTATTTATAAATCAAAAAAATTATCAAATAAGTTTTTATGACAGTTTTTAAAATTTTTGTAAATATAAATTGAAAACTGAAAACAAAATGGTTACCAAACAGGTCTCAAATGGTAAAAATATTGTAAAATTAACAAATAATTAAATAAATTACCAACGTAATAAATGACTTATCAAAAGATTCTTAAGTTATGTATGGTTTGATTTTTAGAAATTTTTTTTAAAAATTAAAAATTAATTTGGTTAAGGAATGAAAAATAAAAAATAATTATCATTTAAGGGTAAAAAATAAGTATCATTTTCACTTTTGGACAGGTTATATACGTACGTATAGCTGTTTCAATTTAATTTGTAAAAAAATTATTTCTAACCACTCAAAAGATAAAATTATATAAAAATGATAATTATTTTTTTATTTTTTATTTTTAACCAAATTAATTTTTAATTTAAAAAAAATTCTAAAAATCAAACCATACATAGCCTAAAAATCTTTTGATAAGTCATTTCTTACGTTGGTAACTTATTTAATTATTTGTTAATTTTACGACATTTTTACCATCTGAAGCTTGTTTGGTAACTATTTAGTTTTCAATTATCAATTTATATTTATAAAAATTTTAAAAACTATCATAAAAACTTGTTTGATAATTTTTTTGGTTTATAAATGGTTGTCGCAGTTTGTAAATTTGAGGAAAAAATGTAAATTCAAAAAATAAGCTTACGTTGGTTTTTAAATAGAAATTTAAAAATTTTACTAACAAAATTTTTTTCAATTAATGTTTTTTTTAAATAATTTTTTTTCCAATTAATATTTTTTTCAATGAATTTTTTTTCCAACTAATACTAACCGAGGGGGCAATTGGTAATACTACTTTAAACTTTAGGGAGGGGATTGTCTTTTCTAAAATGTGAGGGGTGTCAATGTAATTTACCTAGTGAGGGCAACATTGGTATTTAAAAAAATTAAATTGCTGAGGGAGAAATCTGTAATGAAACTTTAAACCGCAGGGAGAGATGTAATTTCCAAAAAATGAGAAGAACTATAATAAACATAAACCTCAGGGAGTGTCAGTATAATTTACCCTTAAATTAAAGCGGTAAAAAGAAACTGCCTTGTACCCTGTTACAAGTACTAAGAACAGCAGCTTTCTCTATATGATTCAGAGCACAAAGCTCACTAATCACTTGAGGCCATTGTGCTTCGGGAATGGAAATCTTTTCTCGTATCTCAACTAGTGCTGTGTGAACATTGAGTCCTATGTCCACGACACTGCTTCTATCCTTTGTATATCCTGAGAGAAAAACAGAGTATAAATATTTGAACAATTGTGCCTTTAATTAATATTCCTTGTGACTAGTTAAAAATGATGCTTGGTAACATAGCAGTTGCTTTGTAATAAAGTTGCATGTGATATGTTCTGTCTCTAGAAATGATGAGATGCACTTTATATCATAGTTGTCAATTTGAATTTTGAAGCATTGTGTTTAGATATACTTTAACTTTCTCTTTGTAAAATGCATATATGTAAGAAGAATATTGTGCACACATCATATGTTAATATCTGATAAATATGTTTTAATATTCTTTCTTGATTAAAGGTAGTATAGCTATGCATCTATATAATTGGTTAACTTGTTTGTTGTCTATTTCTTTCTTCCCATTTCATGTAATGTCTTCTAGATTAAAGTAAGCGACATCTAGATTTATCTTGAATTGGTGCTGAATTTTTTTATTATAGCATTGAAGAAAGGCTTCCTATAATTGTACACACAGGAAATTTCTCAGTGTTTTGTACCTCAAGCTGTTCATGTAGCCTTGTATGCACTTCAATTTTCATCCGTATTGCTTCGCTTATATGTAAGCTTCTGAATAAAAGGTTTCATAATTAAAGTATCAGTTCAAGTAATTTTTAGAAAATAAAAGAATGGATATAGGAACAGAATGAACATGAAATGGGTTTTGAGATCCTACTTATTTGTTTGGGTTCCAATGCTTGAATTACTCATACAAGTTCCATTTGCCTCAGACATCCTTTCTCCTGCCACTACAACCATTCTTAAATTCTGTAAGCTATTCCATTCCTAGTAGTTGGTGTAGCTCAAAATAATTTATACTCCATGATTGTTGAACTTCTTACCAATTTTGTTTGTTCCAATAGTAGAGTGCCCATGGAGATTCTTACTGAGCCTGTATTTCTGCCAAACCAAAATTGGAGGAGTTATTCTTAATCTGTGCTTATATACACATATATGAATATGACAATCCCCTAAAAAATAAAAATAAAAATAAAAATAAAAATAAAAATTTGAGACTTCAGAGACTTTTTCAAATAACTATGGTTGGCCTAAAATATTTACCTAAAGATGGCTCTTTAAGTGGGTATAATGTCAGTCCCGGAACCCCCATAAGTTTCAAAACTGTTTTTGGAGTAGCCTCTGTAACAAAGAATAGATATTTCAATTAGTTGAGCATTAGACATTTTTCCTTTGGATTCTTCTTAAACTTATTATGTTGTATGCACTCACTGCCTGCTCCTCCAAGCTGATTTACTGCTTCTATGAACTGCTCATGGAGGTCTTGTGTCCATTTCAGTCTAGGCTTTGCATCGGTTGAAAGTACAAGTCCAGAATCTCTTGCACCATTCCCTCCTTGCAGGAACAAATGCCTTTCTCCTCTTGAGGAGGGGTGGATGTTCTTTCCTTGATGATGGTGATGATACATCTGCCTTCAAAATGAAGAATTTATGATTAGTTTCATGCAAAGAGCACAAACAGTTACTATGATCTTATTCAAAAACAATTGTGTTTTTGTAAGTTATACATGTCAAAGAACTATAAATGGAGTGATTCCTCTCTGATAGCACAAGGGAAAATGAAAATACAGGCTACTGCCAAACCAAGTTAATGAATATAGTAACAGCCAAAATGGAGCTCTCTCTGATTCACATCATACCAGAGATAAATAAAAACTTGAACTTGCATAGATTGAAATATTTCACACACAAACAAAATTCAACCATATAATATATTTCCATTTACATTTCAATTGAAAGTTGAAACAATTCAAGACAACGCTTCAATTTGAAATATACTTTCACATCCTGATTTGTTTTCCAATGACACCATATATACACCTAAATAATAATATTTCCATTTTCTGCGCACCATATCATGCACTACTTTTCGACATTTTAACTTGCAGTAGAAGAGCAAAAAGGCTGGCATCTATGAGGACTTAATGCTTACATTTACTATAGTGGGCTATTAGAGGAGATCTGCAGTTGTAACAAAAATAATGTCCGCGTCTGTGATCATCCACAAAAACAAAATATACACATATAAGTAAGCAGATGATTAGGAGTAAAAAATATATAAAAAAATTAAATGAATCAATATAATCAATTGGAAATGGTTCAAATTGAGTTTCAATCTTCATCAACTGAAGAGACATGCTTGCTAAAAAAGATCAATAACACTACAAATGATTTTTATCTCAACTTGAAGACCAAGGTCATATGACATAGGAAGTAGAAATGCAAGAAAAAAAATGAAAGGAAGTTTGACAGAGTTGAGAACAACTACATCAAGAACAGTACTGTTTATACACCAAACTTCCACCATAAAACCGCAGCAACATAAAAACTATGATGCTTGGACGATGAAGCAAACACAAACCCATTTATCCTGAACCCAATGCCTACAACCAACATTGCATTATAGTTATAAAAAAAAAATTAAGGATTCTAGTGTTCTTCCTTCAAGACAAAAAGGAATAACATAGTCTAATTATCTATGTTCATTAGAAATACATAAAATTATGTTCTACCAATATACAAACATTGATTGAAAAATGTAACGCCTCCAAAATAATACAATAAATATAACCCATAAGCACAAGGATAGCAAATATAATTTGCTTTCATTCATCAGAGTTCGTATACAAAAGATAACATATGCGATATACGTTTACAAACTGTTCATCCTAAATCTACAGTATGTGTTACAATGATAAGAGAATTGAAAATTAAACAGGTAATCATATGCCCTATAGGCTTACATCTTTCCAAGTCGTTACTCGGTTACAACAAAAGTAAGCCTAGCTCAATACAGTTAAAGCCATTGGCTATACAAAAGAATACAACAAAAGAAATAAGCTCTTGCTTCCAAATGTCTCTCCAAGTTATTGCCTTGGCAGAAACATATCATCAACACCTGAAAATGATTTTTTCCTAAATAGGGTGAGCCAGAGCCCAATAGAAACAGTCTAACACAATATATGAATTTTAACAAAAATATAGGTATAATTTGCATATATAATGCCTATGCTAAAACATTCATATTCTATATGACCATAAGGTACCAAACGTATATCTCAATCCATTTTCCTTCAATTCATTTCAAGTAAATCATTTCAACTCAATTCATGAGCAAATTTTATTATCTTCCAGACAACCCAACTAAGACTACAACTTAGTGGTTCTCAAATCAACACGACTATCATACAAATACTTCAATTTGTCATTTTACGAAAATTTCGTCCGCGGGAATCGGTACCCATGTATACGCACGATTTTGGGACTTTCACTCAGGACACGCAGACCAGCTTAGTTCAATGAAATCCATCCTCTATCTCCTCCCAAATAATGGAGTACATCCCTTTTCTTCTCCCAAACAATCATACATATACAATGTATTTGAAATTTAGTCATATTCAATGACATTCAACAAGAGATTAGTTTCAATTCACCTAATCATCATACAATTTCTACAACAATCATAAGTATCCTCCACCAATAACCCAATACAGACATTTCTAAAGAAATATTCAATCTTAATACAGATAATTTATTCAAATTTCCATGGGTGTGAGGTCATATATTTTTCCAACTCCACCGTTTATTTCAATGTTCATCCAATTTCATCTTTATCACACCAATTTCATTTATTTATACAAAATAAATATTTGAACTATTTTAGGGCAAACTCACATTTTCTCAAATATCAACCCAAATGCCAAAATCAACAATTTTGACACAAGACAACCTCATATTCAAACCCTATAACCATTTATATCACATTTACTTAAAAATCCCTTTTTTGACTTGAACCCAAACCCTAGGTTCGTCCAAAACACTCTCAACTCCCACCATTGTTACACAACAACAAATAACTAAGCTAAAAATCATATGAAAGTGTAGAAAATCCCTACCTCAAGAAGGGAAAACGAGCAAAGCAAGGTTGAAACTCCAAAAACAGCGAAACCCATTTTTGTTCATATGAAAAGAGAGTCCATGACGTGATCTACCTTTTTCTCAAAGGCACTAGGGTGAAGAACCCAATAGATCTAGGTGAAATAATAGAGAAAAGATTAGTTTTAGAGAGAGAAACTCAAGATCTAGGGTTTTAGAGAGTTTTAGAGAGAGAGAGAGGGATGAAAAAGTGAACAAAAAAGTCATTTCATGGATTGATATACACACAATCTGCTCGAGCGTAAGAAGTGACACTCGAGCGGTAGACACATAGTTCTGCTCGAACGCAAGAAGTGACGTTAGAGCGCAGAATGCACACTTTCAGAAGTTTTGCAAACGAAGAACATCGCTCAAGCGTAGGAAACACTGCTCGAGCGTAGATTACACTCTTCTAGTATTTTGCAAGTCTACAAAAGTACTGAGAATTTGCAAAGCCCGCTCGAGCACAAGAAGTGCCGCTCAAGCGAAAGACCAAAAATCTAGGCAACAAAAGGTTTGAAAACCAAGTGACCAACCTGCTCCAAACACAACCAAAACAATCCCAAAGCCAAATTTAAGGGAGAATAAGAGGGAAAAGACATGAACAACCATACAAGGCTATGAAATCCGAGTCCAAAATACAAAATGGGTCAGGTCTAAACTAGAAAGACTATAAAAAAAATTGAAAATAGTGAGATTGAAAAACAAAAATATCAAAATGGATGAGATTCTATTGAAAAAAGAGCAGACCAAAAATAGCAAATGAAAAGATTAAAAAGAGTACAATTCAATTGAAGAGAGGCTAGATCGAAGAGCAAGGAATATAGTGAGTCCTGTGTACAAGACCAGATCTGATGAAACGAGAGAGAGAGAGAGAGAGGACCGAACTTGAGAGATGGTAGCGACGGGAGGACCAGACTAGAGAAGGAGCTTCAACAAGCTTGAAACCCTAGATGAATCCCATTGCTAACGTAGCAACTTGATTACCAGAAACCCAATATTCACTCAATCGGCCGGTTTCCTCTTGCTCTGACTCGATTAGTCTCAATCTCGATGATCTTGATCCTTCTTCACTCATCGGTCTCGTAACCCTGCCGATTTGTGCAACTCAACCGGTCCATCTTCCTCTGCAAAATCATCAGAATCAAGAAAAACAAAAAAACATCAAGAATTTTCAACCAAATCGATTCAAGAATCGATGGATTTAGAATTAGATTTGAACGAGTAATTGGCATCAACCCTGGTGAATCTCTCAAGGAACATGAGGAGACAGAGAAAAGCCTGGATCTAGGACGGAGAGAGAAAACGATAGAGAGAGAAATAGAGAGAGAAAACAGAATGATGGAAAGAAAAATGGGGACAGAGGAAGATGGAGAACCGTTACAAAGTCGCACGCGTGTTTATAAAAGGACAATGCATGCCTTTTAATTTCACTTTACCTCTTCCAGAGTGTTTTTCAAAAAAAACATTGTCTAAAAAACATGGTTATAAGCAACTTTTGTTGTAGTGAAAGACTACAAAGGTCATAACTAGAGGCATATGGTACACATTCCAAAGGGGTGTGTGCCATAAAATTTCGCATATTTAAAATTTAAAATTAACAGTTTATAACTATCTTGTAATTATAAATTGTAAAACCAATCATTTCATAATATATAACAACAAAATAAAAATAAAAAAATTGTTAATGCAAAATCTTCATAACTATTGATCATAAAATAGAAATATTCATTCCATCCTAAAGGATTTGAATCCTTTCTTTTGTTAAACGTAACTGGAAAAGATCAAAAATCCAAAAATCCAATCAGGTCTAATATCA